CAAGCGCCAACCTATAACCGTCCCTCGGTTAAAGTCGGGTAATTCTATTAATTTATGTCAATTATTTCATGACAAAGACTGGTCACTTTTGTACCTGGATGTAAAGCGACGTATTTGTATGTCATAGCCACTATGGCGGTGATCCAAATAAAGGGCTAAAATTATGGATACACAAGATTGAGTACATAAATGTCTTATTATTTATGTGAAAATGTTATGCCTGCCATTACGATCATTCTTCCCCATGTCTGATTCTGGGTTGTCTATGAAATGGCGAGCCATTGATATTAACACTGGTAAATACCCATCATCTTCATCAGCATACTCTCTGCGTGCAGTCGTGCGCAGCATGGATACAACAGTGTGACATAGAAATTAGATTAGGAAAAGGGTATACAAATTTGCATAACCAATGAGAATTAACCGCGTAATAGTAAGCTGTTTTATCAAATATAAACTTTTGATACTAATCGGCATTCCGAGGTTGCTTCCCCACTCCCTCGATTAGTAAGTATGAACTCTACTACTGGTTTGTCAATGATATTCACTAACGACATCAGACACTGACTATTTATCTATTTTACAGCAATCAATAACCTTTTTAAAATGACACAATTGTTTATATTGACAAACGTTAACGAGAATAGGTCTTCGCTTGTTAAAAATTTTCAGCATTTCGACACAGGTTAGGTGGTGATGAAGTAGAGAGAAAAGACGATTATGTTATTATTATTATTATCTATTAAATTTAATTGTAACATTGATTGTAGACGCTTCAGCAGATATCTGTGCGGACAAGTTTGCTGACGAGGGCGAGACTACAGGTTTTAAAGGACTGGTCAGTTCCACAATACTTATTATTATAATACTGCGCCTTTTGATTATTATGTTGTTCAACTCACAATTCAAACTCTCAACAGTTTCGATGAACAGACCTTCCTTCCGTGGCTGGGAGGAGGAGGAGGAAAGCGGCCCGGCCCCCGGCCCCCAAGCAGACGTTGGAGGCCTATTCGAAGGAGGCCAAATCTTGTGGGAAGTAGCGCGCGAAGAGTACACAAGCGCAAGTATCCCACACAAATAAAGAGAGATTTGCTTGGGCAGACATGGTGCAGATACTGTAACGTACCTTGCAGCAACTGTGTTTTAGTAATAGAATTTGATTGTTGTAAGGCTTGAATGAATTTATTTGTACAATAACATACGATGACAAATAAAATCTTTTTCTCTCATACGAAATAGATGCGTTCCAGTCATTGTCATGAAATAATTGACATAAATTAATAGAATTACCCGACTTTAACCGAGGGACGGTTATAGGTTGGCGCTTGAGGGTAGTGGATTCTTTTCTACAATTATTGCTGAGTGTTCTGGTGTTATTGACCAGGGATAAACCTGAAGAGCGACAATTGATAAAAAAACAAGGGATAGAATTATAACGCTCGACCAGCTAACATTTACTGTTTCTGTCGGTAAAGTACAGCGTAGCCTACTTATACATTCTACAGTATAGTCGGCTGATTAACATACGAATATTTAAATTTGCTACGCGTTGTTAAAGTATTATTACGTTATGCAACGAGTGCATCTAGCAAACTAATAATCAGATGACCACCCACTACAATATAATGTGTTTCAGTTTTACATTTACATCTGGAAACTTGCATGTTATAACTATTTGCATTTCACCCACTGCCCAGGGATAGTTATTATCGAGGAAAGTTAACCAATACATCGGAAACGCGGTCAGCAAATTCGTTGTCTCATGTTTGCTTTACATACATAATCTAAACTTTCTCATTTATTCATCTGTTCGAAGAGTGTTCGTGTGTATCAAGCTGTGCCAACCATTATGTGCCGTTGGTTGCATATCCAAATTGTGTATAACCTTAAACAATGAATTCTATCGTTCATTGCATAATCTGATATACATCATCATCAGGAACCAGCCGTATTCGCACTAAGCAGATGAAGTTTGTCACTACAAAAACAGAGAAGTCATTAATCATAATCTCTTTGAGATTGAGGTGCCCATTTTTATTCCGCTTAGACGCCTGTTCGATGAAATGTATCACCTCAGACATATTACACACACGTGATCTCGATATAACGACACTGCTATTACAGTATTACTATATAATAAGTGATACATTTAGAATTCTTTTATTTTATATCATTTTATGTTTATTTACAAAAAACGCGAAAATTACATATGCATCTAGTCAAAGGCAAGACCATAACATATTAATATATATACAGATTACTTGTACTTCTCCATTATAATTAATTATAATGTAAAACTTGAACTGGCCTCCCAACAACTACAATTGCCACTTCACTGGCAAATACTCCCATTAAAAATCTCCAAAATCAAATATTGCACCAAGTTGTCCCATATATCCAAATTCATATACCCATTCCAATACATGATGTTTCTCATTGCTGTCAGATTTGTCTTTCTTAAACAGGACACACTAATACTAAACACAAATAACAACAATGTTGTGAGATGGAAACAAGCTCCCCTTTTACTTAATGCATATGAGTTGTTTTTTCAACCTCTAATGTTCTTTTAAACCAATCAATGCATTGTCATATTGTTTCAGTGCCAGCAGTGTCATGAGTTCATCAGTGCCAACACACCCAGCAGTGCTGTGCACTGCATGTGGATGTGGACAGTAATATGGAATATATGTACCTGAAACAGGCACATATATATTATTTGATAAGTATTGTTCATATTGATTGTATTGTGTGAGCTTGGTTTGATTTATGTGCTCATATTTGATGTTGTGTGATTGCATTGTATCATAAAAGGTGGTAGATATCTACTGATTTCAGTTTGTCTCAAGTGCTCAATGCATATGTATTATTTGGTTCAATCTCTAATTATAATGTTCAGTTAAGATTGACCATGCGCATTGTCCATTTCCACAATCTCAATATCCCACCTCAACATAATCCTGCAGCAATTTCATTTCAATATAGGAGGATTAAGTTTAAATTATGTGTGTGTGTGCGTGTGTTGTGTGTGTGTGGTGTGTGGTGTGTGGTGTGTATGAGTATGGGTGTGTGAGTGTGAGTGTGTGGTGTGTGGTGTGGGTGTGTGAGTGTGGGTGTGTGGGGAGTGTGGGTTGCGTGGGGGGTGTGTGGGGCCCATACTCAAAACTCTGTGCTTCCATGGCTGGTGTGTGGTGTGTTGTGGTGTGTGTGGGTGTGTTTGGTACTTAATCCAGCAGTCTTTGTTGTGCTTCTACGAGGGCTTCTGTGTGTGTGTGTGGTACTTCATCCAGCAGTCTTTGTTGTGCGGGTGTATGCGTGGGTTGGTGTGTGTGCGGGTGTGTTGTGTGTGTGAGTTGTGTGTGTGTGAGTTGTGTGTGTGTGAGTTGTGTTGAAGGGGGGGGTGGGAAGGACAGCCAATGTTGTGGTGGTTGTGACATTCGTTACTGTAAAGCTCTCTGACGCTTGCTTTGGCTTATATAGCGTCTTAGTCATGAGCTTCATCCTCATTGGAGAAACAATGTACAAAAATGGGCCACGTGTTAAAAAGCGATCCATAAAGTATGCTGATCTCAGGAGAATGGATGCAAAGATAGTAATTCGCTTTAACCACCGATACACTAAACTGTAACCATAACCGGAGAGAAACCCGATAGACATATTTGCTAACACCGAATAGATAGGTGAGGGTCATCGATTATAATTACGCAATATGTAATGAGTGATATGAAGTGTTATCGTCTTTTTCTTGTAACTTGAAACGGATTGATCTGGTCGCACACGTCATTAAAAATTTCTTTGGCTTTACGATTGACGTTAAGAAATGGATATTTTTTCATGAATGCCAAAAGACACAACATGGATCTGAGGATATGCTCGAACGATGGATTCTCTATGGAGCTCCAAGTGATTTATCCGAGTTGAAAGCATAGCTTGAGAATGTAATTGATAGGCGTGTTCTTTTCTGGTAAGCCTTGAAAGAACTCCGCAACCCCGTGCATTGGCTCATTAGGAATGTTGCATTGTTCGCATAGACACGGAGTATTATGAATGTGAATGTGAATGTAGTTGGAATGTAAATACAAGAATTACGTACGTGGACCCCGAATGTTAAAAGCTCCCACGATTCCAGCTTTCATTTAATTAGGTCTGGCGGGGAATAATCTCCGAGAAGGCAAGATGGTAAGTGCTCGATGAACAAAAGCTATGTTCTATTTAAAATGCTACAACCACTCAGGCTGACGGGAGGAGGAATTCAGATCCAAAAACTAAAGGACATATCCGAACAGCATTGTATTATAGGCATACTTTACACGGTCATCGATTACGAAGAATACAATGAACGATTGATATCCCCTTGTAATCGAAAGCATCAGTTACATTCAAGGTGGTAAGAGAAGTGAAGTAATGAAAGATTATATTGTTGTGGATATAAACCGAACATATGTACTTACAATGTACGGATCGGGCAAGGCTAATGTATTTAATTGTCTATGTTATTAAAGGAATGACTGAAGCACCAATTTCATACCTTCCCATCTATTGCATGACTGAGAAGAAATGATGGAATCGAAAAAAGGGACTTGATCGAGAAGATATAACTGTGAGATACGGATAGGTGAGTAAATCCATTCCGGCCGCATTTGTAACTAAACTTCACATATACTAGTCAATAATCCTACAAGCGTGGTCTTTGATAGTAACTATTGTTTTATTCTATAACATGTAGAAACTGCTGAAATGATTAGGAGATTGTGAAACGGCTATATGAGACGAATGTGGTATATCAGGAACCGGCTTTCCGATTTACGGTACATAATATAACTAACAATGCTTCGTGTATCTTTCAACCGAGGTGCAAGTACGCTGAGATTAGATATAGGGATCTTTGCTGGAGATACATATTATCGGATGTGTCATATTAATATTGGTTTTGTTTGTAATTTATAGGACGGGCTTATATGAGACTTTGGAGAAGCCATCAAAATCTGTTCTTGGAAGGTTGTGATATCTTGGTTACTACCGGAGCTTCTATGGTACAAGCAGTCAGTCTAACACGTTAGGTGATTATTATTCTATCTGTGAAGAATGATTACAACACTCTCACAATAGAGAAGAAGAACAATAGCTATACCGTGTTTTATGCGAATTAACTATAATGTCTGCTTACTCCCCGTTTACAGGTAATACCCGGCTCTATTCCCACGTATGGACCTCTATTCAGATCACACTGGTATGTTCTTTATTTCTGCGGGAAACGATATGGATCCGTGAAATGTCATATAGACTGCTTATCTAACGATTATGAAAATTCTAAGGTCGTAGAATTGGACGGTTCAAGAACAACTGTACGCCCTCAAGTGACGGCTTATTTCTTCAGTGATCCCCATTAAGAAATCAAAAGGGATCGTTTGCTTTCTCGGCCTTTGTAGCCTGTATAGGGCCGGATCTGCCGAGACATGAGCCGGCGCGTAGTGGATTGTTATCTCTCTATTGAAATAGTGAGTGTGAACGGTTTGAGGAAAGATAATAGACTCAACATGGACCTTTCGGTGGAATACTTACCACGACCATTCCGCTGTCGTCAATTTCTTACAGTAGGAAAAATTGCAATCTCTTTAAGATCATTATCTCCAGGACTAATTACACAAAACAGTTCAATAGGTCAAAGCGAATCAAACCCAGTACGAGGTTTCGCCTGGGCTGATAAGTTAACCTTGTACGTTTCGATCATACGGTGTTAATCAGTAGGAAAGAAAGAGTCCTCCTCAAATGTCCTATACCATCGCTCCTGTTCACCTTAGTGCGCATTCTTTTAAACAATGGGGGTGTTTCACTCGAACTTGGGACTGATGGATTAAATATCAAAAATTGATATCTTTATTGACAGTATGTGATCAAATTTAAGATTAACATAGGAAAGAAATACATGAATAAGAATAGAAGAATGATTTATTGGACAACTGTTAATCAATCTAAGCCTTGTATAAGAAATAATGAAAAAAACAAGATGAACACTGTTATCCCATATTTGTTAACAGAATCAAACTGCCTGTCAAACCGAAGCCTCATTTTCATCTTCTCTACTTCATTTTCTTTTTTCCTGTTGGACCACGAGGTAAATGACTTTATTTTTTCCTTTTTCTGCGAACTGCATGGAGTATTCCACAAGCGGAACAAGATCAAACTTCGAAAGTAGAATTCGGGTAAAGGCTTCATATATACAGTATCTTTTCCGCACGATTTTCGGAACTAAAATTAGAGCAACTGTATGTATGTCGGGGAAGCAAGATAGTAAGTACTCGTTGATAAAAAAGCCTTTAGTTTGCTTAAAATGCTACCACTAAGCTGTAAATTGGTCACATTGTTCAGGCTGCGGGAGGATGAAACCTGAAGGGCACATTCAAACAGCACTATATTATATAAATGGAGGAATCTTGATTCAAACACAATGAACGATGTGATGTCCCTTGTACACGAAGCATAACTTACATTCAAGGTGATAGGAGAAGTGAAGATATAGAAGATTGTATCGGTGTGGTGCAAAACAAGCATATGCGCTTAGAAGACACGGATCAAGCAGGCTATGTATTTAATTTGCCTAGGTTATTAAAGGAATGACTGAAGCATCAAGTACGGAAATTCGGGTGTTACCTTCTCGTCTACTGCATGATGAGAAGAACGATGGAACCGAAAAAAGGATTTAGCCTGAATTGGAACGAGAAGATCACTGTGGCGATACAGAATAGGTGTGTAATATCAGAAGCATTGCAACTAAACTTCACACGTGTAAGCCAATAATTCTACACGACACGTCAAATGTAATATCCGACAGTAACTATCGTTTGTTCTATAATATGTAGAAACTGCTGAAATCTGAAAGACCCACAAACAAACTAAAGTGTAAAACGCATGCGATTACCTGTTTATGGCAGGCAATTGAAATACGCTGTGTTAGGATTCTGCTGCCACAGAAAATACCGAGGGGCCGACCTTCCGATTTACCTTACATAGTATGATCACAAGGCTTCGTGCACCTTTCAACCGAGATGCGTGATTAAGTATTCTGAAATTGGATATAGAGATCTTTACTAGCGATGTGTATCATTGAAGGTATCTTTGCTTATAGATGTTTGTTTTTATTAATCTTATAGGATGAGCCGCACGAGACTTTGGAGGCATGGACCAAATAATAACAATAATGTCCTGCTTATTAGAAGGTTGCGCTTCCTTAGCCGTCCAGGGATTCTTACAGATTATGTATTTCATCGATGCAAAATGAAGGATAATAGAGTAGAACGATCGGCGTCAGCTGGTACGTTTATTTTTACAAGAAAGATATGGATCTGTAAGATGTTATACAGAATGCTTATTTATCAATTACGAAGCTCGGGAATTCTCAGAAAATGTCTAAGGCTTAAGAATTGAGCGCGGTTTAAAAAAGTATGTACAGTCAAACCTTTTTATACCGATATGACTGATTTGGTCAGCAAAAAATATCGTATAAAAAAATGACTTCAATTAAGAGAGGAAACAAAATAGATATCGGTATAAAAATATCGGTACTCGAGTAATCCCCACTATAATAAATTAAAATGTACTCATTTGCCCTCGCCAGTCGGATCCAAAGAAGTCAGAGAAATTTGTAGCCTTTGCCAAAGCTGTTGCTCCTGCAGCTCCAAAGAAGTCAGAGAGGAATTTGATTCTAGAGCATTTGCCGAAGCTGTTGCTCCTGTATCTCCAAAGAAGTCTGAAAGGAAGTTGATTCTCGGTAAAACATTTGGATGTTTAGACCCGGGCCGGGCCTGGCCTGGGAGAAACCAATAGAGGAACGCTCCGGGCCTGGGGAGAAACACGAACGGTCGCTGCCATAGTGGATTCGTTAATCCTTTATCCAGAGAATGTGAATGACTTGAGAGAAGGTAGGGGACTCAACATGAACAAATAAAAACTTCCAATAGAATGCTAGCGTAAAAAGACGTCGAGAGAGAAAAATGTTTGGAATTTTTTTCACTTACGAACGTCTACTGCAATACACATGATGAACTTTTCGTGAACTGGCAAACCTGAACAGGAGTAAATCCTTAAATAATCATTCAATATTCGGGACAATGGATTAAATAGCAAAGATGAAATTTTATTGACAGTATTAGGTTTGAATATTACATGAATAAGAAATAGAAGCATGTAAAAGAGAATAATGAAAGCTGAATAAAACACGAAATGAAAAGAAATACATCCGTTTATAAGAATTTTGCCTACTATAAGAAATTTTTAGAGACGACGCCCCATATCAATTTACTATAAACTAATTAAAATCTCGAACTGTTGATACTAAAAACTAACAAACAACCAACTTCAATAACAACCACCACCCGCCCCCGGATATTTTTCTTGGCAGTCATGACTATTGAGTCAGCCTGCCTGCACTAAATTGGAGCGAGCAAAGACTCCAATTTTACTCTTCTTCCCTCCCTCTTCTCTCTTCTTCCCTCCCTCTCCTTCCCTCAGCGGTAGAAACGCTTCATTCGTTTCATCTCCTTCTCTACCGCGAGGTACGACGTAAAACCGCTTCTTCCTTTTCTTCTTTTCCTCGACCGCGAGGTACGAGGAAAACGGCTTCATCGGATTCTTCTTTTCCTCGACCGCGAGGAACGAGGCAAAAGTAAACGGCCCCATCCGTTTCATCCCCTTCTCGTACAGGCCTTCATCCTTATCTTCACCAGTCAGCTCTGTTGTCCAGCTGAGTGGGATATTGCCGTAAGTTTGGCCTTGGATTTGGCTCTTGGGCGGAGGGCGGGCAAAGAGAGGACGGTAATAATTTGTTAATACCCGATGATGCCCTCCGAGAGCGTAGTATATGTTGAAGGAGAAGGCGCATAATGCGTTTGTATAAAAAAAATTGCCTTTGGATAAAGGACATGTTTTGTCCTTGTTATATTGCGGAGGGGATATGTTGTTGTTAAGCGAAGGAGACATATCGTTAACGAGGATATAGCCGTTGAAGCAAAGGGGGTGTGGGCACATTCTTATTTATTGGTGTATGCTAGGTGAAATTACCACAAAAATTAAAATGTACTACAGTACTATGTCGATCTCTATTGGACAATGTCTCAACATCTAAAGTGACCGTGGGATTAACCATAATAGATTAGATATTGTTCCTTGCATGTGTCGGAGCAGCGAAGGAATAGCTCCGATTTTCGTTTATTCGTCTGCTTTTGTAGGGAGAATGCGCTTAGTAAACGTGAATTTCGGACACTTAAACCTGAAAATAGACAATCATACAGAGAATGGCAATTCCCCAAATCGTGTATAGCTGTCCTAAACAATGAATTAGACGATTTCTCTACGCCCGCTTTGTAATGACAATGACGTACTAAACTCCACTAATCGTCCTAAACAATTGATTAGATATTGTTCCTTGTTCATTTGTAACAAGTTTGGCGCAGACTATACATAAACGCATAGAATGGGTTGTGCACGCAAAGCAAGTATGATGTGCAATGACAAGGTTTATACGAGACAACGCAAATGTATTAGTCTGAAAGGGATACGTTACTTTTTACTTGGTGCAGCTGTAATGTGCACATTGGCGCCCTTTTTTTCTCAAAAAGCTTCTATTTTTGACGCATTTAATCAACAACGCGTGGCTTATGCAGAATTGGCTGAATTTCTATTGCGATGGTACTTGTCATACTAACTGTTATTCTTGAAATAAAACAACAACGTAGTTTTGGAATCACAACTTGTGGTATTACAGTAATTATTAATAATAATTGTTTCGAATGTATAATCTGAGATTCGCATGTCTTGTGGCTTTGTTTATGACGTCGTGGTTTACATTTATGATTCCATAATTAATGGAGTCTTCCCAAAATCCTTTTTCGGAAATCTTATACAAAAAAAGGCTATTTCGGCAGTGAGGATTCTTGTAAAAAGTTTATTATTTGTATTGTTCAATTGCGCGTGTCAGATTGTCTAATGTGTCGAACAGCTCTGATTTTTAACTCGAACCAATATCGACATCAACCTCCAAAAAACAATTACAGATGTATACACAATGCACACAGACATTATTATATGCTGATTTTGTGCTATGTATCAGTTTTATTGTGTTTCAAACCTAAGACCTAATCTCTTAACGCATTGGACTAAATGCCTAATTATGACCGCATGAACTGGGTTGGTAGAGTTAATCTAAGGGGCAAAAGGAAATTTTTGTAGACGATTTATCGGGCTAAATAACCAAGTCCCTTGTTTGATGATATTACATTCGTTATGCAATTAAAAAATTACCTCTCGATAAGTCGCGATAGAGACCACGTTTCTATTCAGCCAGAGTTTTGTATATCGCGCTATTTGTAGTGGATCTAATTTAATTACATTCCCGCGCCTTCTTATTTAGAATTGAATGACTCTGCTTTGTATTGCTTCGATATTCGGGTCACTTGGATCAGTAGGAGCAAAGCGCCATGAAGCAGCTATAGTCTATTGTCTGTACGGGACGGCAATCAAGTTGTACAGCAGAACTGCCAGTAACAAAAACGCATAGCTGGAAATAGAGGTGGTCACAGAACTGTAGAGCGCTGTTTGAGTAGGAAAAAAACTTGTTAACAGATGCTTGCCAGATTGCTCAGACTTCCCTAGAGTATTAATGCAAGAATCTTGCTTTCACATTACTTGGTCGTGGGGGACAATACAACTGAACCTCATGAATCTATAATTGACGGTTAAATACAAATTGTAGATACTTGCATACGTTGTGCTATATTGGCAACAGCTGAGAGTTGTATTAACCAACCAATTCAAGCATTAACCCATAGTGAAGCGAAGCTAACAGTATGCTTCATGTACAGTGATTCCGTATTGAAGTTCTGGACAAGAAGGACTTTCATGAAAAACCGCCGAATTAATAGTACAGCTGTTTCTAGAACCAATGTCTGACATAAAGGAGCGAGAATGCGCGACAAGCGGACGCGCCATAGAAACAATAAAATTTAACATTATCCATGGTGAATGAAAATTATGTAAATCATAAATTAATTTGAATTATTACCTGTCTATAACGAAATCAGTTCTGTCTGATTGTCCTCATAGACCCAGGCTGTGGCTGCGCTCATGGGTTTCAAGCATACGGTGGAAGGTGATATTACAACCAGCAACTGGACCGAAAGCAAAAGGGGCTAGAGACAGAAGACAGAGTGGAATGACTGCATGTTGGCCGGCTTGCCGCATAGCATTCAGGTAATATCCCTGACTGTAAGTACGTATTCAACCCGACAAATGGATTATCGTTGATTTTATCGTTGATATTCTCGTTGGATCGGCATTTAGTCTGCATTAATACAATACAATGATAATAGTTGGAGCTGTAATCTTTGGACCAAGTCGACGCGGCACTGATTGTATTGGTAATTGGTTCATATTCCTTGAGTTCTCTATGAAGAGGAGACGAAAAGATAAAAGCAACGTATATTACTTGTATGAATATTTGCTCATACTTTTCACAAACAATCAGCCACTCTGACGAATTCCTAACCCAATATCGAGATCGGACCGATTGTACCAAAGCTCTTTCTCTCAAGCAAGCTTTTCGACAGTTGTAACGTTATTATTATGCCATCGAACGGAACAAAACCTTCATTCAGCGAGATCACAATTCGTATTAGTTAGTCAACCTGTTAATTCGCAAACAGCCAGTCGTCACATTTTCTCTCATGACTACTCACAGTACAAACGCAACCCCACATTTTTCATCAGTCGGGAGGATGACAGCCCTATGCTTTTGTTGTTGAGGAACACGAGTCCACCATTTCAATACGCATACACAACACTATACGAGACTAATCATTTCATGTTGGAGTCAAACACATAGCTTACAATGAAGTACAAATCACATCATGGTTAACCTTGGAATAGATGCCTTGTATATCCTAAACGTAGTTTCAAATTAATGTAAGACGCGTAATATTTCACTCCGTGAAGGCAAATAGTTGGTCATTATAAATCTGTCAAATAAAACAACACACATACACTTTGTAGCTGCGCGCTAAAGACAAAGATCATGTTAGCTAAGGATAAAGTTTTACTAAGTAGATGTTGGCTTAGATCACCATTGAATCAATATGTGCCATTAAAATTATTATCACTGTACATGTTCATTAATTGCTCACCGTCTAATTTCTTATTGACATTAAGATATGTAGTTTTAAGGCGATGTTTTGTGTGTATTCTCATGCTGTGTAAATAGAATATCTAGCGTGTGTCACAATTACAATTCACGTGCCGTCTATCAGTTAACTATACTTCGCGCACCAACGATAATATTATTAGAAGTTGTCCATACGCCTCCGCTCTATAACATGGGAGACCTTGCCCCGTTTCTCTTGAGGCGCGTCAAATAATTCGGACACAGTTGCGATAATTTAAAGGAAATGAAAAGAAAAAGAAAAGAAAAGATTTCTTTCCAAAAGACCCTTTTGCATGTCGAAACCGAACATTTAGTGGCGTAATAAAAGCTGAAGAGCTTTCTACGACTATAGCTGCATCCTATCGGGAGATGCTTATGAATTCATGTAAAAAGAAGCGTGTAAGACGGTTAATGAGAGACGTGGGTGAAGGAATATTTAAAGATCATGGTTTCGTTAGTCGGGGAAGGTTGTGGAGGATGAAACAGACATCGGACAATTTTCTCGATCGCTAGTAAAAGAGAAGTTGGGAGAATGGAGTGCGTTTGTCGAACACATATAATTGAAGAGTGACTACATGTCAAATGAAGACTTGACAAGTTAGGGACTATGAGACATTATTTTTCCACACAATACACCAGCACGCTAGACACGTTTGAAAGATCGACATGAAAAGTGATTTTCGCTTGATATCACTAACCCTCACGATACCAGGGGATTGATAAGTTGTGGGGCTGACAAAGGTATGATATTCCGATCACGTCAAGATGTAAGTTATATTGTCTATTTTGACGTTAAATTTACGCTGGATTGTGAACGATTATTTTCAACATCTAGCAGATGGTCGTTTATATCTGACGAATGGGTCGACTAAAGGGGCTCGAAAGAAGTGGGGCTTAGAGAGGTCCTCTCCTGTTTTCCGAAAGAGCGTATCGCCCCAGAGCTACTGTGCTCACCCTTAAGGCCTCGGTCTATAATTGAAGCTTCAGCACACGACGATGTTAATTGGGATGGCTCCGCTTATCAGGTTCGAAAGGGTTCTGAACCATTAAGAATGAGAAAATCTTTCTTGTTGCGTTTGCAATCCGATGTACAGCACGAAGACCACTATGTGAAATATCTCCCAGTAATAACACACTTGCAGTGTCCGCAACAGCTTCACGGCCGGCTAGTAATATGCTTCTCTTCTTCGAGATGTGAGTTGAGTTTACCAAGCTGGGCGAAAAAGAGAGAGCGTCACCACGTTCGAGAGAAAGACAATAAATTCTGCTAATGGGGGGAATGCGATAACGACTGCAGCGTCAACAATACCAAAGAGGCGAATGCCAGTCGCAAACAACCTTCAAATGGATAAGACGTTATCTACAGTTCTAAAGACAATATTTTCGTGTCACATCACAGGTAAACCTTAGCGCGAATCAATGAATTCGATTATCGAAGACTAAGTTGCTTGATAAACAGAATGGTTTTATGGCTTACTGAGACAAAGTTAAAGAGTGACGATACATTTAATCAACTTGGAAGTGTATGATTGGACTAGGAACGGCCAAAGACGCTTATTGGATGCCATACTAGAAACGTTGAACAATGACGTTAAAGGACTAAAACATGGCTTGGCTAACTTTACTGCCCAAGCCTCGACGGTCTCCGTGGAGAAATGGAACAGGCCTCAGGAGAATTAGGAGCCCATCAAGACCAATACGCAGGCCCTGTATTGAAATGAGAATTCCCCATGTTAAATTGATACGGGCCGTAATTGATAATCAAGAGATCTACGGAAAGATAAGACGGACCAGTGCGTTTTAGTGGGAATAGCTCGGTCCGTATGAACCCACCAGACATTTACAAGTTAGCAAGTATGGTTACATACCAAATGAGAGAATGAAGGTGCTCTATGGATCGTGGAACGACAAAAAGAATGGTCA